TGATGGGAGGAGAGATATAAGATTTAGAGTTCATCATTTTTTCGAAAACTATTACTCGCACAGTAAAAATGAATAGAACATAAAATGTATATTTCAAAGAGATCTACAACTTTTGTTTAAAACATTTTTCAAAATTTTTAATATTTGTCTGAAAATTACATATAATTGGTTGACATTGTTTTTTTAATAACTTTTTAATAAACAACGAGCGCCGGCTAAATCCTTCCCAAATAGCACAAGGACGTCCTGAAGACGTCCTCAGAATATCCAGGACGGGACGTCAGGACGTTTTGGGGACGTCCCATTTTAGTCCCGGGACCTCCTGAGGACATTCTGTGGAACACCCGATGCGCGCCTCATTATATCCTCACGAGGTCCCGAAGACGTCCTCAGAAAGTTCTTCAGGAAGTCCACAGGACGTACTTCAGAACATTATAAGGACATTTTTGGGATAGCCATAGAATCCCGAGTAACAATTGAATCTAGTGGCTGTCTAGTAACGGCCTAGAAAAATTGTGTCGTATCTCGCCACTAAGCAGCAATACTGTCTAGTTACTAGTTGGGAATGTAACGCTCATTTCTGCTAGTAATTAGGCGCGAAAAATTATCTAGCGGCTACCTAAAAACCCATAACTCGTACTTATCTAGCCGGGGCTAGACAGTGAAGAACTTGCAAAACAAAAAAATTAAAAATAAATTTTTTATTTGTTAAGATATTTTTATTCTCTCTACATCAGTAGTACCTTCTAATCTCCTAATGTTATCTTATACTTAAAATATCATATGTGAAAAATATGTTTTACCACTGCTGGATTCGAACCTGGGATCATCAGCTCTTCAGTCTTCCATCTTATGTCCTCGGCCACTCATATTCTTGTATTAAGATAAAAGTTATATCTTATATAAATGATTTCGTCATAATACATAAATATATGTATATTATATAACGCGAAAACTAAATATTTAAGTGTGAGGAGAATAATCGACTGTAATTTGTGTCGTCTCTGTATTTATACCGGACGTGGCTTTTCCGAACATGCCTTTATACTGCTCTCAATATGTTCTGTGGCTTTACTGAATTCGTCCGTATGCTCTCCTAAATATATCTTAAAGAAAATTAGGATGTCCTTTATAGGATATCCTTAGGATGTCCTTTAAAGGATATCCTAAGGATATCCTATAAAGGACATCCTAAGGTCATCCCAAAACGTCCTGAGAATATACAATTTTCCTCAAGGCATCCCAGGACGTCCTAGGACATATTCAGGATGATCCTGAGGACGTCATGTGCTATTTGGGTTCTGAGGGTTACTCAGGAGGGTGACCTCTATAATATATGTCAAGCCCAAGGTTATTGGAGGTGGGTGTCCTAATCTAAATAATTACCACAGAGATAAATATATAATCTAACTATACATATATATAATATAAATATATCTTTAATATTAATATATGTATAATACACTAAGTATGACAAAATATAAATACAATGAAACAAATTGGTTAATTAATATTTAATTATTAAAAATCCTATCCAAAATATACCCAGATAGCACAGGATGTACAGTGGACGTCCAGTTTAAGTCCAATTTACGTCCGAACGTCCGTGGACGTGAAATGGACATTTAACGGACGTCTGTTGTCGTACCTTTTATTAAACATTTAAAAAACATTCATTTTACATTTAATATCCATATGTTGAATAAACGGTTTAAAAAATGTTTATTTTATACTTATTTTACATTTATTTCATATTGATTAGTCATTTGCGACGTATATGTGTATAAAAAATATTTTTTACATGGTTTTTATTTTAGGTTGTTTCACAATTATTTTATATTAATTACTATATTAATATTATAATAAAAGAACGGATATCCTTTACGGGACATCTTATGGACATCCAATTTTTGTCTACGTTTGGGCTTTAGTTTTATCATCTTTAGATATATTTATTTTAGCATATTTAGATACATTTGCAAATTTTTGTTACGAAAAATGTTTATTAAAAAAACTTTTATTAAACATTTAAAAAACATTCATTTTACATTTAATATCCATATGTTGAATAAACGGTTTAAAAAATGTTTATTTTATACTTATTTTACATTTATTTCATATTGATTAGTCATTTGCGACGTATATGTGTATAAAAAATATTTTTTACATGGTTTTTATTTTAGGTTGTTTCACAATTATTTTATATTAATTACTATATTAATATTATAATAAAAGAACGTTAATGAATAAAACAGTTTTTTTACATTTAATAGTTAAACATTCGTTGTACAATAAAACCATAGAAAACAATAAACATGGACAATGTAAAATAAATATTAAATAATATAAATGAAATGTAAAATATAATTTTACAAAGTTATCTCTCTCTCTCTCTCTCTCTCTCTCCCCCTCCCTCCCTCCCTCCCTCCCTCCTTCACTAAATATCGTTGTTTTCTTGCTTTTTTTCCTTTCCTCTTTCTTTGATTGTAAATAAAAAATTGTATATTGGCACATAAATTGTACTCGGTTATAAAACATTTTTAATTAAAAAACAACTAAATATTCATAAACGGGAAGTATATGCTTTAACAATTACAAAGATTAACAATATGTAACAATTTAATTTTTTTAGATTAATTTTACAAATTAAATTGTCATTTTCTGTTAATTTTTGTAAATCTACCCCGCTGAAAAAACTAAAAATTAAAATGCTGGAAAAAGTCTAGAAAACCTGGAAAAGTCAAGGAAAATAGAACTTCATTTTGCTAGACACCACGTTAAAATAATATAAATCAATAAAATAAAACAAAAATAAATAAAATAAGTATAAAAATTAATATAATATGTATAACAGAGATAAATACATAATCTAACTATACAGGGTGTCTGATGCAAAAGAGTAGCCAACTTGAAAATAGTGGTAGATTGGGTTAAACTAAGGAGAAATATCATGTGCCGCGGTACAAAAGTAACAATAGTTATCGAGTAATTAATTTACACGTCTGAGCGAATGAGGATACAGAATAGGGTAGGCCGGACTCGGAAGGCATTTAAGAAAATCGATCGATGAGCGGGAGGTGGAGCGACCCCACCAACACATAAACGTTATATAAGCGTTTCAGGAACGTTCGAACGTTTTCGTTCACCAATCGTGCAAATATCCACCGAGTCAAACGTTTGCTCATCGTTTGGTTATTGCGAAAACGTTTTACGAACGTTTGTCACATAACGTTTCTTGGAAACGTGTTTCACAAAAAATAAAACATATAGGCTAGAATTACATCGAATCATACAAAACTGTTTCAGTCAAAAAATCTTCAGACAAAAAAATTTTTAATTTTTATCTTAAAAATGTTTTACTAAGTCTTGTCTGATTCAGTGTGATGCTTGCCAAAAACACACACACACACCTAAAGGTTTCTTAGATAAAGACGTTTTTTATTTAAAACATTAAAAATATAGCTCACTTAAAAATAAATTGAACACATAAAACATTTTTATATAGATAATCTACTCAATATTAGTATTATTCTTGACAAATTTTCTTGATTTAAGCCATTCCTTTACTCCATCTTCAGCTGTACCCATATCCACATCACGGCGAAGTTTCTTTATTGCAACTGCGGAAGATAAAAAACAGTTTTGGTAGCACGAGTGAAGTGAATATAAACATAACAAATTTAAAAGATACTTACGTCTTACAGCTTCCATCATTACAGTGTTTTTAAATGAAGCTTTCTTTCCACCACTTCCCTGCCAACTGTAAAAAGTACCAACATGATTGGACATTAATTTTTCCATTACTCGCTTGGCACATTCTTTATCACTGGTCCCTGTAGCAGCTAAACACAATCTCTTGATCTGAAAAAGATATGATAATGTTAATAAAAACCAGAGAATACTGAATAATTAATAACTTCTTTTATACTTACAACATAGTCTTTCTGTCCTTCTTCGCGATTTATTTTTTCCTCCAAGTATTTTGAATCAGTATAAGTTTGTAAAGGTAATTTTGGTAAATCTTTAGGATGTGTCAAAGTTCCTGTTCTAGAAAGTAGAAGTTGCTTTATCTCTTCGATGTTGCTTTCTAGGTTTATCTGCCTTCGTTCTATTTTTACAGTTTTCTCATACATTTGTTTCAAAAGTGCTGGAAACCAAGAGACGCGTGTTACATTTAAAGGACATCCAACTAACAAATGATATGGTACTCATGAGTATAGTAAATGGTACCTGTGACACTTGTTTTGTTTCCATCAGTGTTGCCTGTTCTGGTTTGAAGTGGATCGTTCTCTTTTGGTTCTTCTTCCTCAGTTCTGCTTAGAAGTGTTCTTATCTTTTCGTCAGCTAAACTCATTGTGAAAAACCAAATTAAAATGTAGAGAGTTAAAGAAATTGTAATTTATATAAAGAAGGTGCGCACAGACTAACTCACAATCAGATGTACTTATTTGATTTATATCCACATGCAGGTCATATGTCCTGTCGAACATTTCTCTCCTATCATTACAGTCAAAATCATCTTCACCTGAGAATGGAATCTCATCATTGTTTGCTGTAAAAGAAGGAGAAATACGAAATATTTCTGTATTATTCTGTACTATTCAAAATATTCTTGTAATATTACGTTTATCATAATGCTAAAATAAAAAACATTACTAACCATTCTCTTGGAGTATTTTCGAACAACTTTGTTTTGATGTATCGTTTTTGTTGGGAGTACTAGTGGCATTAGGTTTTAATCTAATATTTTCTACAAGTAACATTATATTAAAAGATTGCTGTATATTAAAATATTTCTGGACGTTTATCACAATGATAAAATAAAAACATTACTAACCATCCTCCTGGAGTGTTTTAGAACAACTTGGTTTTGATGTATCAGTTTTGTTAGGAATACTCGTGGCATTAGGTTCCAATTCAATATTTCCTACAAGTAACATTATATTAAAAGATTGGTGTATATAAAAATATTTCTGGACGTTTATCACAATGATAAAATAAAAAACATTGCTAACCATCCTCCTGGAGTGTTTTAGAACAACTTGGTTTTGATGCATCATTTTTGTTAGGAGTATTCGTGGCATTAGGTTTCAATCCAATATTTCCTACAAGTAACATTATATCAAAAGGTTTTCTGTCATTAATTTTATGATAAGAATATTTATGTATCACAGACTCAGTAGATATTTGTGTATCATGATTGTTAGCAAGAAATCCTAATTTATTTTGCAAGTTTATTTATTGCATGAGCTATTTTTTGTTTACATTTAGCCTTTCACACATGTCAAACTTTCAATGCCAAACTATCAAACAAACCTAAATCATGATACGCAAATATCTAGATGCATCTGCTTTGAAATATTCAAAGATGCAACTTATGATGAAGCATTAATGTACTAGTGTGCATTATAGAAAATGATGTAAAGATCCATATTACTTTTTCATAATCTTATATATTTAAAAAATGCATACTTGTTCGACTTTTAATGTTCTTTTCCATAGAATTAATCATTGAGGTACACTGAATCATCGATATTTTGTCATAGCTTTTACCTAGAAATTACAAAGAATTGAGATAAGAACTTCAGATACTAAATCAATATCGCATGGATTACAATGCAAAAATGAAATTAAATACCACATGGATTTTGTTCTTTATTCGAAGCAATATCTTCTTTTCCATCTTTATCTTCAACAATGATTTGACCTGACTTTGATATTCGTTTCTTTATGGGGGTTTTGCATAAAAGAGATGATATGTAACATTATCCCAAAATAAATTAAGAAAGTGCTGAATATGATATAATGAAAAGAATAACAGGTACCTTTAGTTTTCTTATATGATAAACTCTTATTGCTTCGAGAGGTTTTACTTTTCAATGTTTTATTTGAAAATAATTCAATATTGGGGGATGTCTTATTTACACTAACATCTGAAGTTTAAAAAGAGACATGACAATAACGAAATATTTCTGCAATCAGTTATCACGACCTTCTAAGAAATAAGAAAATGAATAGGGTTTGCATCCTCTGAGAGTTCAGACAATGTTTAGTAATCAATTAATGTGTTAAAATTGAATGCATATACTTAAGAAGTTAGTTATAAGTAGAGAAAAAACAGATAAACAGATTATAAACAGATTTCAATTAAGACACTTGGATTAGACTTGAAGGTACATGAAAGCAAAATAAAAGGTTATTAAAATAAAATTGTTTTACAAATAAATTTTCCAAATAAGTTTTTTACAAATAAGTCTTTACAAATAATTCTTTAGTTTTATAAAGATAAATTTCATTACCAGGCAAGAAACTGAAGGAGGGAAACTGAGGCAGTTAGATTTTGCGCTTCTTGATATTGCTAATATCAGTTCCACTCTTCTTGCTATTCTTTCTTGGATAGTTCTCCAATTCTTTATCTGAATAGTCTGAATTTTCGTCTGACACATCTTCAATTTGTTTTTTTTTACGTATGGCCCTGCTTGCTTTGTCATCCGCAGACTCAATATCCGTTTGGATTGTTGCTCGATCTAATCTTGCTCGAGCTTCTGTATATGTTGCTAAATAAAAGCATGACAGAATAGTATTTAAGACAACTGAAAAATTCTATAAATCATAATTATCTAGATAGCAAAATGCATTCTGAGTTTATATTGTCCCCATATTTCTTATAAACATGATGACAAAAAGACTCATCATGTGCTGCTCAGAACTGGGACATGTTATATGATATTTATAAAATTTCACAAAAGAATGAATACATAATGAATACATAAATGATTTAAAAACTAAATTGCAATGATTCAAACTGTTATTGCATATTGTATGTTATTTAGTCTGATGACTAAAAGATGATTAATTATAATTACAATAGACATTTTTGTAGTCTAATTATACATAACTAATTATATTGTATACATAATATTAATAGACATTATACATATTATTAGAATCCAATAAATACTGTTATATTAATGTTGCATAGAGAATTATAAATAAATATTACATAAGTATTATCGGTAGCTTTCACTCCTAAATTATATTGTATTTATATATTGTAGTCACATCCTACATATAGACAAAGATATTTGACTCGACATAATTAAATTTAAATAATTTAATTTATCCTAACGTGATCATCGAATATATTTATGTGGGTATATGTAGACTGAAAATATAAGCATTCAAAATGACTTACCAAACCAATAACGTGTCGTTGAGGGATATGATGTAAATTGAGGGTTGGGCTTCATGCAATCTCGAATTGCGGTCGCTTGTTTTTTGGGAGGTAGGTACGTGGGGTAGACACATTTTGAACCGTCATCACTGATCCAATTCCAGGCAACAACACTTACTTCAACAAATGATTCGTCTCCTATGGTATTAATAAGATCGGCAATAACATATTTTTTCCCTGAAATAATGTGTACAATGTAACGTTAGGCCTCAGATTAAAGATAAAATACATACAATGTTATAGCAACAACGTTGTAAAAAATAAAGATTTAAAAATAACTTTTAAATTAGTACCAATTCAGCCCATTACGAATAATTTAGAAGATAGAAAAGAACATTTTCATTATGCAGGAATAAATTATATACATGCAGAACATATAGAATATATAGATGCACTACCACAAAAGTAATAAAAAGATAAAATATTTGCCAGTATGTACAATAAAATGCTAAACAGATAGAAAATCTAGCAAGTGCAAAGTTTGTGAAAAATCATTTTAAAATATGTTATCCAAAATTATTTGTCAAAGAAGTTAAAGAATCAACTGACATTTACTACATAAACATAAATTACAAATGTTAATTATATCAGTTCCATAAAAAAATTTTCAAACAATTGATAGCAAACAGTTTTATTATATACTCAACTTTAAAATGAATGTAGCATTGGGATAGCTATCATATTTGTATTGCAGGGTAGGACCATATATTTTGTCTTTACATTTTCAATTGGCACAATAACATTTAGATGATTCCAGGACATTTTCCCAAGATTGTAGATACCAAGCTTACTAGATTCACATGGATAAGTAAAATAATCTTCTTTTATATCACAAATGTCAGCAACAATGACAAGGTTTCCATTTGGAAGTTTGCATATGGATTTGGCAGTAGCAATGCTCTCTTTATATAGAAAGTAACTGTCTCGTTTGTGGACAGTACTCAAGGTGAATGAAGAGGATGAAAGAATTTTATATTTATTTGTTCCAAGCACTTGTCTTCCTGGCGTAAACTCATTTGATTTTTGCGAGTATTCATATAAGTAATCTCTCTCAGCTAGTCTTCTTATAAGCTGTTGCAGAGGATTACTTGGAGCTCGCAATAATTTTTTTAATTGTCCCAAGTAACTTTCAAAAGGAAATGCACTATAATCAGTTAGCTTACCAAAGTTTTTCACATCATCGCACAAATGGAGCAAGCTATGAACATTATAAACAACAAATTTTTTACCAAATACTCCTTCATGTGAACAAATTTTAACAAAATTATGTATCACATCCTGGGCAAAATTTATATATGACACATCTCCGATAAAGCGTGGTATAGACAAAATAATCATTGCGCATTGTAACATTAAAAATAAATTGTACAGGGGGACCCAATCAGCACCCATTATTTTTTAAACATTTATTAAATATTTTATTTTCATTAATGTTATATTGTTCAATTGATTTTAATAAAAATATTAATTAAATGTTTATTAAATATTTTATTTTCATTAAATATTAATTTAAAG